GTCGGTTAACCACACACGCTCCATCGATACTATGAAAACATTAAGTTACCCTTTACCTACCTTGTTAAGTTCAAGTTAGTGTGCCGGTTAACCACACACGCTCCACTAACGACTTAAACAAAGTGTAAAGTGTAATTCATGGATTAGCACCTTATTCACATTTTCCTAAAATAACTAAGATTGGGAATTCAATAAAGTTTAGTTACTTTAGTATTATCATTATACTTTTAATGAGAATTTATAAGTCCTTGTCCTACCCGTTCGGCTAACGACCCTCCACCGATCAAGGAAGCGGTGGGTGAGAGTGGACACCCATTAAGTTGCCATTTTATAGGCAACAACCTTATACCCCCCTATAGACCGGCTTCGTGAATGAGGCGTACTAGCGGTAAGACGACTTGATCTTATACAAATAAATATTATAAACTATAATATTATAAAGTATAAGGGGAATTTTAACTTTTAAAATTCTAGGGGTTGGAACTAAAGTTTTTAATATGACTTTACATGTTCCAAAACTTGAGGGCAAGTTTTGTAAACTTTCAAAACTTTTCATTTTCTCATAACTTATGAGTTAATGGTTATTAAAAATGAAGACTCTTCATTTTTGTAACCTATGTTGTTCTTTTAATGGTTATTTATAAATGTGACTTTTGGTTATCCATAACTTAAGAACTAGTTATGGACTCCATTAAAACACATAAAGATCAAGAATTAATCTAATCAATTATTAGCACATAATTTCTATGATCTTCTAAACTCATATGTTTATGAGTGTTCATATCAAAAATTTCAAGAATCGTAAGTACATATACAAAACTTGAAATTTTGATACGAGCTTTTGAACAAAACTTCGATTTTCAATTTTTTTTTTCCATCAAGTATCAAATAAACAAACCAACAAACCACTCTTGATACCACTGATGGTTTTGAGCATTCTAACACTCCTATGGTGTACATGCAACCCTAGAAACCTTGGATCTATGTTTGACTAAGATACATGCAAATAATTATTTTTCCAAGGTTCTTATCCTAACTAGCATGGCATGGGATACTTGAATCAAATAAAACTAGTAGAATTACTTACCTTGTAGTAGTAGTTGATTGCTTGGAGTTTGAGAGCCTAGCACCAATAATGTGGATGCCTCAAATGGAAGTCACAAATCACCACAAACTTGGAAACTTGAGAGAATAGTCACAAACTTCTTGAAATCGGCCCTCTTGGTTTACACACATCAACTCGTGCAATTCAAGAACCAAAGCCTCCTTTATATAGTGTGGTGGATTAGGGTTACATCCATGTAAACCCTAATACCCATGTCTTTTCATTTCCATGAGATCCATGGGTTAAAGCTCCATGGAGTATCCATGGACTTTCCATGTAAGCCTAGCCCATTCCAAATAAGCATACCACACTATATAAATACAAGAGCCCATATTTAATTAGTCATACTTTTGATCTCTAAATTAATTCTAAATTAATTATAGATCAATACTAATTAAATAATATGATTTTATATTATATATTACGACTTATAATATATTAATAAATCATAACTTATACTATTCTCAAACGATTATCCATAAATTGTTCGGGTGAAGTGCAACCCAAATGGACCATGCCGGGTCGGGTCAAGTACATACCAAATATAGTTATGGACTTAGACACTATATCCAACAATAACTAAAGAAGGTACACAAGTCGATCGATTAAAGGTAGAAGCAGTGATGATGCAATGATAGTATCCAATAATTCTACTAAAAATAGAAGTTGTTGGATTTGGTGGGTATTAGCAAAAATTATTGAACGAGGCGAGGTTATTGCATATCTTCAATACATAAATTGCATATTTGATTACCCCATGTATAATTTTGAACTTGCAACGGTTGTTCATGCACTTAAAAACTTGGAGACATTATTTATATGAGACGTAATGTGAACTTTCACCGATTACAAAAGTTTGCAATATATGTTGACCAAAAAGATTTTGACATGCATAAAAGAAAAGGATTGAAATCCTCACATGCTATGATTTGTGAGATTCTCTACTAACGTGTCAAAGACCAGCATTATAACAAATGCCTTAATTTGGAAAGAAATTAGAGAAAAATATAAGATTCAAGGATTGCAGATAGAGATTGTACTATCCATTGTGATACACTGAAGAAAACACAAGATGACATGAGTCAGAATGTAAACATAAATAAATAAAGGTTGGTAACACCCATTATCTTCGAATTAATCAAGATGGATTGAAGACCTTCCAAGAAAGTAGTTGGGTACCATTATATGAGAAGTTCAGAAAGTATTGTTGAATGAAGCTCATAAGTCAAGATACTTGGTGTACCATGAAGCACCAAGATGTACATTGAAGCATGTTTAACTTGATCGATGGTCAACACCAAACACTAAAGACTATATTACGAGCTAGAGCCATTGGAGTTACCGTAATGGAAACGAGATAACATCATAATGGATTTTATCATAAACTTTCTAGGACAGAGAAAGGGCATGACATGATTTAGGATAGATTGACCAAAAGCATACGTTTCTTGGAAGCTCGCGAAACATGATCTTTGGCAAAAATTGTGGAACTTTATGCTAATAAGTTGTGAAAGACATGATTATCATTGTCAATTCCGCCGAATCAGATGATAATTGGTTTACATCGTAGTTTTGGAGGAGCTTGTAGTAAGAGTATGAAACCAACTATGTTTAAGCACCTTATCACCCACACACCGACATGCAATTAAAAGAACTATCAAAATATTAGAATATATGCTTCATGCATGTATTTTCAAATTTGATGGAAATTGGGGATGACAGGATGAGTATCTCCTGTTAATGAATTTTAATATACTAATAGTTACAAACAGTTATTAGGATGGACCTGTTTGAGGCATGACATGGAAACAAAATATCAATCCCTATTGTGTGGTACAAACGGGAGAGAAAGGCCTTGTCACGATAAGTTAATTCATAAGTTATAAGAAAAAGTTGAAATGATTCAAGAAAACGGATGTTGGTGGCACAAAAAGAGGTTTTGACCTAACTATTGTTAATCTTAGGTAGACATTAAGCCTTGAAACCATATTATAACGAACGTGAAGTGTAAGAATCAGTAGAAGACTTGAGGTGACTATTATGTTATTGTTGCATGCGAAACATATCTGAAAGTGTATTATTTGGGGAAATATTAATTCAATATGAAATTGTTTAAGCATCATATACGTGCACTTTTGGGAATAAATCCTATTTTGTGTGTGCGACTATTTCATTTGTGTTGAAGTTTTTCTATGTGACCATTTCATCTACATGATAGTTAAGCTTAAGTCAAGGATATACTTTGCAACCCATTCCATGGTTCCATGTGGGATGGTCACATCTCTCCAAAATGTTTGACTTATGAATCCACTACATTTTTTGTGCTATATTCCATCGAACCCATAATAAAAAGTGACTAGTTTTTGAGTGTAGAAAACTTGGATTAAAAATCTAAAAGCATGTGCATTACGTAATTTGGTTAAGATTTTCAATTGATTATAACTAATGCTTCTTATCTCGATATATCCCACATTTAAAATGATATTGAAATTTTTTTGTGACTTTGACTTTAGAGTTGGACTACTTCCATTATCCAATTTCATTGAAAGTTAACCACATGTTACTAACAGCTTTTCATGTCTTAGGTTACTATTTTGATATACACTCAAATTTAGAGACCGGAGCATGTACAAAAGAGAATATTGGATATTCTTAAAATTTCAAGTATGTAGTTGTTCCTTTTGAGTTTTGTTTTGTTCTAAGGCTGGAGGGAGTGACACGCTTGCCATGCTCGCCTCCAGCTCGCTAAGGCGCTAAGCCCACTCCCTACAAATGTTTAAACTTCTCCCCAAAATAGGTCGCTACCCTCCTAAGGCAGAAAAAAGAAAGTTGTTGGGAGATAAAGACCTCTTATGATTATTTTTTTTCTTTTTTTTTTCAAACTAAAAATAACACAAGTTAGATGCTACCACTCCCACCTTTTTGCTACCAATTTCTTCATCCTACATGGCTAAAAAAAAAAAAATCCTATGTGACCTTAAAAATCCTACATGACACCATGCTAAGATGCTACCACTCATTTCAGCCTAATTAACACCCTGAAATATTAAACTTTCAAACCTATTCATGTTATGTAAATGTTGGGGACCTAAAATAACTCTTTAAAAATGTTTAAATGTTTTCCAAAGACATTTTTTTGTTCTAACTCATACGATGGAGTTTCAATGATGACGTACAACCTATCCAAAATTTCCTCAAAAATCTGCGACATTTTACGAAATGTATGTGGAATCCAACAAAAAGACCAAATGTCAAATAAAAGGCACATTGTACATATTTGCAAATCGGAAAAACAGATATATATACAAAATATACCTGGTTATTATATTAATAATGTTGGAAGATGGTCAATTCTTAAGAAGACGTTTTCCAATTTGTTCGTTTTTTTATGATTATTTCCTTTTATATATCAAACTAAATAAGTTATTTTATAACTTAACACAAAGGACAAAATATATAAAAATACAACCATTTATAAAAACTCTTACATTTGTTTTTATTTAGAAAAACACTTCTATTTTCATTTACTTTTCACCTTACTCAATCTACAATTTAACAAAAAATTACTAGTTATTGTGACATGACATTTATATTTTTTATTTTTGGGTTAACTGAAAACAAAAATAAATGACGTTGCCTCTTGTGTAGGTAAAACATGATAAATATATTACTTATTGAATGACCATTACTCAAACAAAAATCAATCATGTTACAAAATAACCAGTAACTTCTTAGAAAAACTCATATTTAATAAGTTTAAAAAATAATAAAAAATGTAAAGTTTTTAATACATATAAACAAAACGTAAAAGATTCGCGAAAAAATATTGATAGGTAAATGGTTGCACAAATGATAAATCCACTAACTTGAAAATGGGCCGTTTCCAATTGACTAAGTTAAGTCCATCATGAATCGCAAATTACTTCTCTCCTCAAGTTTCCCTCTCATCGTCTGATAAATCTAGGGTTTTAAAGCAAGGGTTTTGAAAATTTCCGATCTTTCTTCGCCCCAATTCTGTCAAAATCATAAGCCAAACACATTCGCCGCAGCGGTTGAATCTCTGTACAGCAATGCGCGTTTTCGTTCACGCCACCACAACAACAAACATCACTATTTCAACCCCAACAACAACATCAATCGCCGTTTCAACCGAGTGGCGGCAGCCCCTTCTTTCAACCACAGCAAAACACAGCTTCTGCAACAGCAACAGCAGCAATTGCCGCAGCAACAGAATCAACTTTTCTGTTTACAAATGAGAAGACTCCGGCTAGCTACGGGACTAAATGGGTCGACCTCCACCCCGATTCTCAGAAGTTTCTCCTTCAAATCGAGTAAGATTTATATGCATCCCTGACTTGCGTTTTTCCTTTTTGTTGATTATACAATGAATTTATCAAGATCACATGAAGAATCGATGTTCCTTTATTAGACGTATGTTTCCGTTGCAATTTCAATGTCAATGAGTCTGATTTCCGCCTTTAAATAGATCAGGATTCACAACACGTTGCTAACTTATTGATTTTCAAAAACACAGCTGCAGTTAGAATGATATCGGTGTGGATTTTGCACAAACTTAATGAATTCTGATTTGAATGTTACTTGTAACAGAGAGAGAATATGGAGTATAGAGATGAGAAAGCCAACGTTTGGATCAGTGTGGAAGACTCTATGATTCTTCAGTCTTCAATGATGGCTTTGAGCTTGATGCAAGTCACATTGTTCAGGTACTTTCTTCTTAGTGTAAAAAGTAATGAAAAAAACTTCTTATCGACTTCATTTCAACAGGAACTTGGTGGAATCACTACGGCCATGGATCGACAAAAGCTTCTATTACAAGAACTCACATCAAATGTCAAAGACATGCTAAGAAACACAGAGATTGCTGTTCGTTCCTTCATGATCCTCAGTTCCAGGTTTCAACACCCAAACAAACCTCCACCACAACACCACCACAAGCTCCCGGAGCCCCGCCAACCACCACCACCACCACAACCCAACCTACAACCTCCGCCATAGTACCCGTATATGATTTCTACGGCCTCCCTCGCAAACCCTCCCCATTTCTCCAACAAACAGTGCCAGATTTGATAAATATCTTCATGAATGCCGCCAGTGGGTCGAGGAGTTAGAACAGCTGCTTCTAGAATCTTCCAAGAACAACTCCATGAATTCCAACCCTTCGTTGCTGGAATCTCTTCCAAAAGTCATGTCAAACGTTCATGACTTCTTTGTGTATGTAGCATCAAAGGTAAATATATAACTAATAAACAAACAATTAGGATTTTCAAATTTTCATGAATCATGATTTGCTTTATGATTTCATACTTTTTTTTTTGAAAAGGCGGAGAGTATTCATCAGTATATGGAGTCAATGAAAACCGCATATCTTTCTGATCAACGTGGAAGAGGAGACACAAACGATCCGTTTCTCGAAGCTGACCGGAGGGAAACCGCGAAACGGGCAGCTGCTGCCCGAAGGGTACATCCGACATTACATCTCCCTTCTAACTCACAGCCATCTGGCACGTTACTTGCCAGCTCAGCAACAACTGCTACTGCCACATCATCTGCTGCTGCTGTTACGCCACCTGTAGGGGCTGCTGCCAATGTGGCGTCTGGTCAGGGCTGTTTAGTACTCCGTTTGGTGCCACGTCATCGTCTTCTTTGTTTTCAACTCCTGCTCCTTCTGCCCCGTCATCAAATTTGTTTGGATCGAGTGGTGGGACCCCTCAAACATCGATTTTTGGGGCGTTTTCGACTTCGACACCTGCGGTGGGGCCCACAGCGACAGGTGGCGGATCCCTGTTTTCTACCACCGTTTGCTTCAAATCCTGCAAGTGGAGCCTCAACATTTTCTACACCATTTGGTACAGGTAAATTTTTTTTTTTATTTTTTTTGATGAATTGTAATTTAAAACATCTAAAATTTGTCTAATTTCTTGTTAAAATAAGGGTCTGTTTGGTATGATGGAATAGAATGAGTCGTTATGTAAATTAGAAAACTAAATAAATGAAGAAAAAATGTTAATTTGTAAAAATAAACTTCAATCATATATAGATATATTGTTAACAATGTGCATATAAATATAGTCAAAAGAAATTTGTTATCATTCAAAAAAATAGACAAAATTACGTAAATGGTCCCTATGGTTTACCAAAGTTTACAAACTCAGTCCTTGCTAATTTTTTTGACGAAGATTGTCTCTGTGGTTTCCAAAATTTGCGTGAATGGTTGGAAATACTAAAGTAAAGGTGTGAGCAAAAAGGACCATTCGAGCAAGTTTTGGAAACCATAGGGACCATTTTTGTCAAAAAAATTAGCCAGGACTGAGTTTGTGACCTTTGGTAAACCATAGGGATCATTTATGTAATTTTGTTAATGTATGTTTGTTTATTAATTTTGTTAAATTTTGGTGTGAATTGAATATAGGGGCAGCAACAGGATCAGGGGCAAGCTTTAATACTCAATCAGTAAGTCAAAGTTTTCGTTGACTGTCTTAAATTGAAGCTACTAGATTTGTTTATTACTTGTATGTATTTTAATAGAAATAGATGAAAGTAGGATGCTATAAATATAATAAACAAAACCAATGAAAGTATTTTTTTTTTTTTTGTATCTAACAATGTATTTTTTTATGGTTGTTACTAATAGTAAAAATTGTCATGTTAATTACAGAAAGCAAGAGGTAAAAGTCGCACAGGAAGGAGGTAGAATATTTGGGTGTCATTTTTTTCCCCCTTGTTTTTGTGTGTGTGTGTGTGTGTTTTAGAGTATTTTAACTAATTATTGTAATTTGTACCCCAAAAAATGTGAAAATTGAAGAACAATGAGGTCCATTGTTTAAATAGTAAACATATATTTTCCTAATTGCTTGAAGTGTTTAGAATATTTAATTTGTAGATCATTATAAAGTTCTATAGTTGTGGTTTCTTTAAAAGATGCACCAATACTTTTGTAGATCATTATAACACACAGTTTGAACTCGTCAAATCGACATGTCATTATATCATTATAACCTGTTTGTGTCTGGCCAAATACCCAAAAATAAAAAGTTTTTGACAATATAATGGTATATGAAGAACCAAAAAAAAAATTAGGGTTAAAACATAAAAAAGCTGTATATATAATTGTTTTTATGACATTAACCTAATTTTAAATATCATTTTGATATTAATCACATTTGTTAATGGAAAAAACTTGAAACCGAAGAATAATGAAACCAAATTGAAAAACACAGTATGTAATGACTGTAAAGACCGAACTGAAAAAGACCCGTCCTAAAAAACCTGACCGTTTCGAGAACAACCTGAGACTACAGTGTACACCTCTATTTTCACATCTGAAAGAGAAGATATAAGTATATTTTCACATCTAAAGAAAAGATATAAGATACTTGGGCCCTATAGTATAACATAAATTTAAGTTTTGAAGTTTGAAAAGTTGAGGCTTGGGCCATTAAGGTGTGCAAATCCCAAGTGCCAACCCTCAGTTAGGCGTGTGCAAAAAAACCGGTTCAGGAACCGAACCGGTCGCTGAACCGGAAACCGGTTTAGGCCTGAACCGGTTCACTTAAGAACCGAATCGCATATGAACCGAACCACCGGATCCGACCAATTTGCCCTTTTTACCCTTGAGACCGGTTTGGAACCGGTTTTTTTTTTATCTGGTTTGCTGAACCGGTTTGCTGAACCGGTTTGAACCGGTTTTCGAGAGTTACCGTTTTTCCTATTTTCCGTTATTAGCCTAAAAACAATAAAAACAAAAAAAAAATTGAAAAAAACTCATTCCTATTTTTCAGTTATTAGCCTAAAAACAAAAAAAAATTGAAAAAAACTTTTTTTCCGTCGAACCGGTTTTTGAACCCTTTTGAACCGGTTTAAGAAACAGTTTTTGGACCGGTTTTTTGAACCGGTTTTTTTTGAACCGGTTTCTAGAGAACCGAACCGGTTTACATATGTTCGGATTATTTTGAGGCTGAACCGGTTTAGAACCGAACCGGTTTAGAACCGGTTTTGACTAAGTTGACCAGAACCGAACCGGTTTTCTGAACCGGTCCGGTTCAGAAAAAAAACCGGTTTGTGCATGCCTAACCCTCTAAATGTTGTAAGTTGCAACTGTTGCAACATATTTTTTCAATGGTTTGGTGAAATACTTAACAAATTTTTATACATATCATGTTATTTTAATTTTATTATATAACGAATACAAAAATAAAGTAAGAAAAGTTGATATTATTTAAAAGTACAATATTTTTCTCCATCTTGGTTATTTAGGTTTTTTGGATATTAAAAACTCAACCTTGTCTTATAATTTTTTAAACCCCGTACTTTTTGAGGAATATGATTGGAAATACCAACAAGATTATTTTTAGTTTCCGAAATTCTTAAAAAGAAGGTTCACTAATAGATATAAGAAGAACTTCGGCTATATTTCAAGCAAATACGTTTGTATTTGTTCTTCACGATGTGGTGTAGTTTTGTTCTTCACGACAATACAATATTGTTATTAACAGAAAAACATATTCCTAAGTTACCGTAAATCACATCATCCCTTTGAAGTAATATGAGTTTGCCTCCATTGTGTCTTTATTTATTTATTTATTTATTTATTTATTTACTACATAAGCGGCCGCTATATGACATTTCAACGACATATATCCTTCAACCATAACTAAACTAGCACATCTTTTGTATTGTTTTTATTCCCTAATACTATTCATTTTATTAACCAAGTTGAAAAATTCTCAAATGTGTTGTTTGACCATGCGATCAAATTAGTATATGAAAATATGTGAAATTTGAAAAATACAAAATTGAATAGTGATAATTTACCGGACAAATTAAGAAGATTATATGAATATAAGATTCAAGAACATGAAATTTTCCGAAAATACAAGATTAGAGAACGTTTTTTGAGTTGTGTCGCTAAACCAACTAATCCCTATTTATACATATACTAGAGGCGCAGTATGGTCAAACAAGTGCCAAAATGGCATGAAACGGACATATATCCATTAGGATTAAAAATGCACAAGACTGAAAGCATGCCCTATAAGTGGCATATCAAGTTTAAACCTGAGTATCATTTTAATTGGTGTCATAGTATTAGGATTTATCTTTTTCTTTTTTGTTGATTGTAAGAGTGTTGTTTCCTTTTTTGGTGGGAGCTAATGTCTTATGCAACCAAGACTCATCAAACTCGAACTCACATTACCAAATGTGGCCGAGTTCTCGACGAAGTTCAAACAGATACATACCTACGTGCCAACTTGGATCTACTTGATGAATGACAAAAAATAGTTGGACTATAATACGCAACATACAAAACCCAAACATAAAAAATACTATAACAACCGGGTCAAAGGCCATGCGTTCAAAGTTGGTGACTTGGTCATACTAAAAATTAGGCCAACCGCAAGGCAACCTTGAAGGACCATACCGCATAAAAGAAGCCCACGAAGCAGTTTATATACACTTGAACATTTTGATGGACAATAAATATCTAGAACACGAAACATTGAAAATTTAAAGCAATTCAGTTTCTAGAAAACGCTTAGATTTTTTTTTTTTTAAAATAAAAATTTATTTTAAAATGATCAAAACTGCTACCAAGCTACTTGGTACAACTGCAAACAAACTTAAACGTACATTTATGTACACAAAAACACCATAACTACCAATCATTTGGTAAAATGAGAATTCAATATGATCTCCAGTCACTTTGTGACATGTTAAAGGGAAACCAAGTCCCTTCTCGTTCCATTCCAGTAATGGAAAAAGGCAATTTAAAGTCGTATTCTAACTAATCTCGACACTTCAAACAACACCCATTCGTTAAGCCCATTATAGAAATGACACTAAGAAGCATCGAGACAAGCCCTATTCTAATAATGGGAAAACCAACCGTTCTCAGTTTAATGGCCCCCCGAGCCTAAAAAGGATCACAATCCTATATACTTAATAAACGTTTTGATAATAACATACAAATTTATTAAGAGAACTGCCCGCCAAAAAAATTGTTCTATAAGAAAGGAAGTTAACAAGCAAGTTCAAAAGACCCGACTCACAATAGGTTACACAAACAATTTATTCCATCACCATGATACCAACATTCAAACAAAAGCATACTACTCAACCTAATCAAAATTCGAGCTCTCAAAATCCTCACCTATCCAAGCCCGAAAGTTTTGGATGTTCATGTCCTCCATTCTTAACAAAGACACATGGTCACCAACAATAAGATCTTTAATGCAAGACTTTATCTCTATATGCTATTATTCAGAAGAGCGTGCACATTACTTGAAGGGGAAGTTATGATCAACTCGAAAGCCCAATTAGCAATACCTCTACTGCTATATTGTGGTCATGCCACCCAGACACGACCAAGAAATGCAAGAAAACCAGGAAACTCTAAAACTCGTTCCACATGACGAAACATACCTACACTACACAACCAAGAAAACTCTCCCGAAGAAGTTTCCAAACAATTAACTAACTCTTTTCTCTCTCCCGACAAGATCTTCACCTGACCTGTGAATTAAAGCCTTTCACCAAGAACATCAAGAACATATTGTCTATGTTCAAGCACTTTACCTTGAAGTTTAATAAGCCTCTCACCATACGTTTTTAACGTAATACATGTTTTCATAAAGATTACAATATAGCATATGTATGTGTGTGTTGTGTAGCTTATGCCATTTTCTTGAATAATAAACCTTGTCGATACATATACACAAGTAGTAGAAGCTATGATTTAAAAGTGGCTAAGAAAACAAAATTTACGAAGTTCATGACGCGACAAAAAAGGGGTCGCGACGCGTTTTTGAAGCGGTGTTTTTAGTTACGTAAGTTAAACAGTAAGGACAACGTACTTATGGCGGAATGTGACATGAAGAGGACTTGACGCAATGTGACTGAAAGTAGACTACCCTTTATTATTAGTGATGAATGTTGATTGATGGGAAATGAAAGTTTCGTGAATAACCGATGATTGTGACGTGACCAAAGAATGCTCGCGATGCGACAATGTTGCAGACATAAAAATTAGAAAACAGTTCATTTAAGATATTATCTATTTTCTCTCTAAAAAAACACACATATATAGGTGAGTTACACATACTGAAGCTGGAGGAAGGCTTGGAGAAAAGGGGTTATAAGATTTAACCTATCATTTCACTAATCTAAGGTAAGGTATCCTTAATCTTCAAGCTAGTTTGTGCTATCTTTGGTGAAATTAAAGAGATGGGTATAAACCCAAAGATGTAATCCGAAGATTTTAGATGAAATTTGTGTTATGGATGTTGTTGTAGCTTCAATACTTCCATGAATATGGTATTATGTGATTTTGGTGGTGAGCTTGAGAAAGTATATGCTAAATCCTAACTTGACAAACCCTTGAATGGTGAAATTAAGTCTATGAGTTAATTAATTAAGTTGTTAGGAGTGATTTGAAGTAGATAATAACTCATATTGATGAATTGATTAAGTTATATGAACTAGTTGGATATAGTTATGCATTAAAGGGTTGTACCTTGTGCATCATGGGCTGTATGTTCATATATAAGAAGGTTGTCTTGATGGGTTAAGACATATAAAATGATTTAATTGATGTGTAGGTGGAAAATATATAATTGGTTAACAAATGTAGTTTAATATTGTATTATGTATTGTGTAATGGATTGTAATACAGGAATATATGTGTATTTCAGTGAGTCAAGTGAAGGGGATGGCCAAGCAAGGAAGTCCGAACTTGAAGTATCATCTGTAGAACCTTATGGTGGACATTATATATTTTATGTATGTATTAACTTGGATGATATAAATCTAGGTGTAAAATGCCATATGGTATTACTAAGTGTAAGGTGAAAAATATATTGAATA